TTTTTGGCCAACTCCATTGAATCATATCTCAATAAAAGAGAATGTTGAAACTAACATATTGGTACTAGTTTCATGAGGTTTCGATCAATTTTTGAAACCTTCAAGCTATCAACAAAGTAACACATTTTTAGTCATTATTCTAATAATTCGTCTTATGACAATAGGTTCAGTCTGAGAATAAGTAGACAAGACAAAATATTAGCAAAATTATGAATTTTATAGTAATCTGATGAGCCTTCAATTCCATAGATATATAAGTCATCAATTGATTGTTCAGTTCAAGGAGATATAGCTCTTATGTACAGATAGATACTGTTGGCATATGTCTGCCATTTTGCTATTCAATTTTTTTAGACAATTTTCGAAGTTTCTTTATAATGTCCAGATCGTAGCTTGATGCAATTCATTTTTCGTCTGGTCCCAGAAGACAACCAGAAGTAAGCTTTTCAACGAAAAAAAATGTTCTTGAAATTCTTTAAATCACACATACACCAACTTAACTTTTTATGCTGATTTCAAATATCATATTAGTTTTGACTCAAATTGAACTTTTGCTCATTGAATTCTTCTAAATACTGTTCAAGAATACATAAAACTATTTGTGGAAAAGAATGTACTAAGAAATATTTGTGAATGGTCAAATTTTTTTGACTTTGGAAAATATATGATTTTATAGTTTTTTAAAAGAATTTTCAAATGAGTGATACGAGAATTTTGATCATTTCAATTTTTGAATGAAATTATTTGTTGAATGGTAGAAATGGATGATAAATACAGTAAATATGCTAATAGGCTTTACCAATACATTGGACCTAAATCTTATTAAATTGAACAATCAGTTGGTAGTTCATATATGACATTGAAGCATTATCAAAGAGTTATAAGATTCATAATTACAATAGTATTTTCTCTTGCTTAGCTATTCTCAGGTTGAATCTACTGTGATAGGATGGATTATTAGAATAATAACCAAAAATCTCTTACATTGTTGATAGCTTTTAGATTTGAAAATCCGACTGAAACTCCATGAAAATAATACCAAAATATTGATGTCAACATATTCTTTTCATTTATATATGATTCAATCGAATTGATCAAAATAAAATACTAATAGGCCAATTTGACGTCACATGTCTACTCTCTCTCCTTTGCATTCTCAACTTTTTAATGTTTTATTGTGAGAGTAATGATTCAACCTGTGTTTTTTGTTTGTATAGAAAAAAAACCAATCTATGACTTGTTAGGGCCCAAATATAAAAAAATCACCTTAGAATAACGTGTAAATTAAAATAGAAAAACACGACCAAAATGAATGGGCACAAAGCGAGTAATAAAAATTGTATGCAAATACGTAGTTTGGTCTGTCAAAAATATTATTGGATTGCATATACAAATATACGATCAACACGCATTGCTTTATCGTTGATTATTATATTATTTGTTTTCGTGGTTTTCTTTTCTTTTCTTTTCTGGTTTGTTTTTTGTTTGTTTTTTGTTTGTCGTTATCGTTCTTGTTTCTTTAGCATCAGCTCGATTCAATGATGTTCAAGGTTTGCAGCAGGGTTCTGAACTACCATACGATTATAATAATGAAGAATATGATGATTTGATAAATGGAAAGCATACTTCTACTCGTATCCCTCTCATTGTTGGTCATGAACATCAAGAAGATGAAAATCATGAACCAAATTTTCATAGTGATCAAAGTTCATAAGATGATAAGGAATCTAGTAAATAAATGCCATGCGTCAAATACTATACATACACTTATATGGTTGATCTATGTAGATCTCATGGTCATCACAACTAATTGATCAATCCAAAGCAAGCACAATCATATAATTGAATTATTTTTTCTTTTCATTTTTCTTTCTGTAGTAATGTTAACAAATACTGCAATGTAAGGGAGAGACATGTATATTATGATCGTATTGGAGTGTTTGCTAGCATTATAATAGGAAGAAAAAATAAAAAATAAAATTTTCATGTACAATTCAAACTTTTTTGTGTTTGAAAATGGCGTGTTGAGCACATCGAAAGCTTAAATCTCTTTTTTTTTTTTGAATAAAAGTAGAAGAATGATAAACAAATTAGTATTAGTACCATTATCATTAATCAAATATATTTTGTCTAACAATATAAACATATTTTTTCATTATATAGCTAGAAATAAAAGAAAAAAAAAGTTTTTTTAAAACAAACATAAAGAAATTATTTTCAAACAGAAAGATAAATTTATACAAAATAAAAATAATAGCATAACATAAGATGTTGATATGATTGATGCTTGAGATTCAGAATTTTTATCGTTTATATGAGTATTAATTTAAGTCACAAACATACTCACACGAGTATATACACCAGGATATTCTGCTATAGCACATCCATATTCATACGAAATGATTCCTTCAAGATTCCATGTATCACTTTTTGAATCATAAATTATCAAAGGTCCACCACTTAAATTTTTTATTAATTAAAAATAAGATTTTAAAATATTTATTCATTACCTATCACCTTAGCAGGTATCTTTACCACCTTGGATAAAATCGGCACAAAATTGAATAATATTATCATATACAATATTACGACAATATTCGTTTGTATATGATATAACAGGTAATTGTACTTGTTGAAGAGTATAAGATAATAAAGCATCTTGTTGTAAAAGTTCCCAACCAATTGCTATACCATTCATTGATTCATATGTATATGTTGACATATTATTTTGTAGTAAACAAATAAATCCAATATTTGAATCATTGATATCAACATTATTTCTTAATTCTAATAAAGCAATATCATTTTCATAAGTTTTATTATTAAATTGTTCATGTAAAATAACAGATTTAATTGTAGAATGAATTGGATTTGTATGATTTTTATATGAAGCACCATTAACAACAAAATAATTTGAAAGTTATGACGATATAATACTATTAAAACAATGTGCAGCTGTTAATGCATATTTATTATTAATTAAAGTTCCACTACAAAAAAGAGAACCCGGAATTATTGATGATTGATTAGGTTTTGATCGACGAAGACTTACTATTTCATTTAATATAGATATTTAATAGATTATTTAAATATTGATAAGTACCAATCAATGGTCATGAATGATCTCGAGCTGTATAACGACTAACAATTCTTGATTCAGAAAAAATAGGTTTTATATATGAACATCCACATTGTTTTGATGATGGTATGCATAATGATAAATATGAATGAATTAAAAACAAAAACATATAAAACCAAATATTCTTTTCTATGAATCATTTTTTTTTCTTCGTATGTATATTACAAACGAACTTTTTTAAGTCTGACTGTATAAGTAATGAATCGATTATGACTTTATATATAATGATGTTAAGTGCTTTTTGCCTTTTGTTCGTCATTTCTATACTATTTATATGGTGATATTTCTCATTATTTTCAAATCAAAACTCTCATACTTGTTATATTCTTTTAATACAGTTGATTCTTTCTTTATATCAATTGTAACGAATCATATGATCGTTTAACATGAATAGAATATATGCCTTTGTTTTGTTTATATAAAAAAAACAAAAGAAAAAAATTCTCACATAAGTGGAAACATGATTACGAAACATATTCTGGATGTTTATCAAAATAGTCTTTAACCAATTGTAATGATCGACTTCTATGACTGATTTGATTTTTTATTGTTTTATCCATTTCTGCAAATGTTTTCTCTCCTGCTTGTCCTTGTTCATTATCTGGTTGAAATATAGGATCCCATCCAAATGTATTTGGTCCACGTGCTGATACAATACGTCCTGGACAACGACCAGTAAATGTAATAGGTTGATGAGATGGTCCAGCACAAAATGCAAATACACATTGTGCATATGCTGTTTTATCATCATAAGCAGCAAGTAATTTATTCAAGCCATCATGACCTAATTTATCTAAAAACCATTTAATATATGGACCGGGAAGACCATGTAAAGCATTAAAATGTAGAGACGTATCTTCAACCAAAATAGGACCATTTATACGTTGAGCAGCTAATATTGCTTTTCCTTTTGTTATCTGTTCAGGTTCACCTTGATATTCAGGTACTATTAAATGCATTAAAAAAAACAGTATTGAAATTAATTTCTCACCGATTTCACATTAGAAATTGTTCGCATAGAATTTTTCATTTTTATTACAACAAATTTTTATAGTGTTTTTGGGTCATTGTAAAAATTGCGAAAATCCACGGACATCACCAATTTGGCAAAAAAAAAGTAAAGTTCGAAATGAACATCATATGAAGACTGATTCTTGGCTACGCTGTTGCTTTTCAACTGGAATATAGTTTGTTTTGTACACACGAATACTCATAGTTACTTTGACTTTTAATTCTATATCAAAGTAATTATTGTTATATTTTATAATTAACACCAAAGTAATTGGAGGCATCCGCGTGGCCCACAGTTTTTATGCGTATCCAAAAGTTACCACGGCTACCTTGATATTCAATTATAAAACACCTTGTATTAGGAAAAATTAAACTAACCATGAGTGTCCTTGTGTAAAAAAAAAAAGATTATATTCCAGCTGAAAATAATAACCGTAACCTTGAATGAATGTTTATAGTTTTCACAGGTATCCTGGTTTTTTTTAATCGAAATATTTTTATTTATATAGTAAAAAAAGACGAATGATTAAATAATATATTGGTTCGTTTCTTTGTTTTCTTTTTGTATTCAAAGATCAGATAAGTAGCATCAGAGATGTGTAACATCAAAACAAGAACATGAACTCGAAATCTTTTGGATCATTTTTAATCTCATGAAAACTAAATCATAGACTACATATGAAGTCAAATGGTAATCTTCAATTGAAAATGTATCCTTGATAATTTTATAAAATACGATTGCTAAAAATTTGTTGAAGTACATAACGAAAAAAATGGAGTCTATCTTTCTTCGAATTATAATACATACAACACACAACTAAATTTTCTCTTAAACAAGCAAATGTCTTTTCTTTTTTTTTTTACTTACGAAAGAAATCCTACAACTAGTAAATCGCTTTTGAGTCGAGACTACATACATGATGCAGACCTAAATGAGCTTAGAATACCCTGAAAATTATTCCTACCCTTAGTTTATTGTTGCCTAAATACTGTATTATTATGGTATTTCTTAAATGAATGCAGCAACACTTAGAAAAATGATTTTCGAATTTTTCCTTTAAACTTTGCATAAAGATAGGCTTTAATGAGAATAGATCCTGTGGGGGGCTACAGCATTCATATAAAAAAATACCATACAAATGTAATATCTTCGTAGCACTCAGTTAAGGGTGCGAATTTGTTTCACGGTATTCATAGGTCATTTTGGTCTACATAATGCACATAGTCTTGAATCAAAAACAATTTATCAACTGGGAGATTTCTCTCATTAATTGAATACTTACAATCAAGATCTTGTGATCTTAAGTTTGGTAATGCATCGGCCAGTATTGCTTGAACTTCCACTAATTTATTCTTATTTCCCGTCACATATGTGACAACCATTTTTCGACTTAGATAACTAGTGAACACTTTTTTTTTCTTTTATTCGTTTCTATCTAAAAATATATTTATATATATTCTTATATGCAATCATCTTGTTTCTCGTTTCTTATATAAACAATTATAAATTAAAGAAAAAAGGAAAAAAATTAAACAAACAATTAATAAAATATAAATCGTTGTCATATACCAAAATGCATATAAATAAACAATTTTATTACAATAAAAATTTTCAATTGTTTTTTTATTCGATAATAATATTTGTTTGTCATATTTGACTATTCTATAATATTTATAGACCCATATCTGATAGAAAATTATGAAGGAAATATTTATCTAACACAAAGAAAAAGAAAAGAATAAACTCACATTTCCACATATAAACCAAAGAAAAAGAAAAAAAATTAATAAAATTTTTAATTGATCAATAATAAATATCGACCAATTTCGATATTGAATTTCATGAAAAAATTGTTTTGTTATAAATATTAATAAAAGAAAAATAATTGTTATAAAACCATTAATTATTTCCCAAAGTGGAATATATTTTTCTAAAGGACAATCATTTCGAAATATAAAACCAATTATAATTCCACTCAATGGTAATATAATTATAAACAAAATCCATATATTTTTTAAACAAAATGATTTACAAACAATATCATTTGTTTGCTTATTATTCATTTCTAATTTAATAGCATTCATATTTATTGATGAATACTTTTTTGTTATAGTAAATATTCTTTCTCTTTTATCCATTGTTCTTTTGTTCATTAAACAGATAGGAAAAAAAAATATATATGTATATAAAACAAAGGCGGTAAATTTAAAGAAAACATATTTTTCTTATTTATATTATATTCACATTATCCAAAAAAAAAATACATGAAGAAATTTTCTGAATAAATCACACACAATCAAAAAAACAAAAGACTGTTATATTTTATTGGATTTCTTGTTTTTTTGTCCATTAAATAAGGCACTGAGTAAAGAAGTTTTTTTTATAAAATTTCGATAACAAAAAAACAAAACGAAAAACTTTCAAGTTTCTGATGTATCATCTGATGATGGAATATTTTCAGTATAAATCTGAGCTTGTTTTAAAAATGATTTTAATCGTCGTGGAAGATCAAGATCATCGATACGATCTCGACTGATATGTCGATGTATGACAAACCGGGCTATATGTTTTAATGATGACATATACGCAAGACGTGATACTGGGTATAGAAGACGGACAGGTGTCATTGGTTGACCTATAGACAAAAAACATTTAAGTTTTATTTAGTAGAATCGATTAATTCAAATCGTGTTTGAAACCGAATTGGCCAATCTACTGGTTACCGGTCCGGTTCGACTCTTAAAACTCTTCGACTTTTTTTTTATTGATGTTTTTTGAGACACTAAAGCAGGCCTATTTTGCTAGTTCTTAATGATTTGTATGATTTTAATAATCAAGAGATATGAGTCTGGAAGTTTTCAACTGACAAATATCCAGTTGTTGTCAAAATTCCATCTTTAAATATTGAGTTAACACTTTCTCATCATACGATGAGAGTCCTCAGATCATACAGAATGAATTTATTACGATCGCAAAAGTTATCCAAGTATTAGAATTTAATTTTCGTCTAGACTAAAGATTTTTCACCTCGAAATTTCGAGCGCACTTCTCGAAACTACTTTTCACCAACTGTCAAAATATTTCAATAACTAGTAATTTATAAATCATGCTTTCATTACAAAATATCAGAAAAATTCCGTTCTGTTATGAAGATTTTACCAAACATTAGTATCGTGCAAGTGTGAAAATATTTAGATACTAAGAAACATTAAAATAAGAAGTCTTATATAAAAACTGTACATTTTAACTCATCGTATCTTTCTGTCAGCAATAGTATCTTTTTACGCATCGAGATGCCTTTCAGCTATGTTAAATAATTATTTCAAATAAGAACAGATTAAACTTTTCAATTGTAAAGAAATCATATCATTATTGAAAAAAGTCACTTAAAGCATAGTAAAGATGTTGTTCAATATTACTTGCTGTGAATTAGTAGATGAAACGTGATAGACTACAATAGGAGTTATTACTATTCAAAACTTCAAGGGGTTATATAGGTTTTACATTTTATGTCTTCATAGAACTAATTGCTTAACTGATATAGTAAGCAAGTATGGAGCTTTAGATATATGAGTGACCGAAAAGTTTTTAGACCAGATGTTTCTTGACTTTTGACATATATCCGACGAGTCATAAGCTATGAGTTAAGATGGTCTTTTTGAATATGAACTTAGAAATTTTGTGTAAAGTTTTTGTTTGAAAGTAGTGAAATAATCCTTGAAAAATCCAAAAAATTAGTTTGAATGAAAAATTTTTGTAGCTTTACTATTGTGATTCAAAACTAAAACTTGAGATCTCTATTTATATATCTGCTTGTAAATCAGAAGTTACTCTACAAATTTTGTTTTTGTCTTTCAACAAGACATCTTGATTTTCGTTTTCTTTAAATACTCATATTTTAAAGATCCACAACCGCTTTACGTTGAAAGAAACTCTTGAAAAAAAATGGTTGTAGTCCCCACTTAGGTAAACGCTACAGTTTAGTTCAATATCATGTTTTGTAAAAAAAATTGTCTGTTCTACAAAACAACTGACTTCGACAATTTTTTACACATTTTCAAAAGGACTTATACGATAAACAAAAATCTATTGACTTACTATTAAAAATAATCTTGCAGGTCTTTAGAAAAGTCCATCATCAGACTTGCTTCGATTCGGCCTCTATCCCTCACTACTATTGAACCAAAATAGACACAACATTTCCAAGTTCATATTCAAATTCTGGTCACGACCGATAGTGTTTGGCTCGTCTGAAATGCTTTCGAACAGACAAGAATGAACAAATATGTTCACCGGAAACGTCGGCCTTCTAGTTCCGTCTAAACTAATTTGTTGAGCTTTTCAAAGATTATTTCATTACTCTCGAACAAAATATACTTTTCGTAGATTGTGTTTTGGAAAAATATTGCGAACGGACATTCTCAACTATTAAATTGCTTTTTATTTAAGATCATTGCTATTCGATTAATCTTAATGAGTAATCAAGAAGATTGATTGGACTGGGTTGTTCAGTGTTCGCTTGTCATTGTACTCGATTTTTGCCCTATGAGGATCATTGAGAGCTTAGATAATCGGAAATTTTATTCACAGATAGGTCTTGTTGTTACTAGAAACGTCTTAAAATTTAAACCAGAACGAATACATTGTTACTGAGATAGTTACATTTAAAAGAAACACCTGTTTTGGGATATATTTTCAAATCAAGAACATCTTCATGATAAGTTCATGTCTCGATTAGGATACATTTGTTATGACCCAAACTTTGAGACATTTCTTGTGATAATACGGCCTACGTGTAAATAAAATTTTCAATCATTTAGGTTCTCAGCGATTCTCATAGGTCAAAAATCAAGTCAAGCGACAAGCAAAGATTAAAAAATACCGAACCCAAAAAGACTTTTTCATTATGGATTACGATCAATCGAATGGTAATAGTATCAAGCGAAAGACGATTTACCAATCGGAAACGTTCCGTCGTCAAGTCTGATTATTCATTTTGTCTCTAATCAGATTTTTAAGTTAATGATATCTCTATACATATGAAAACTAAAATAAACTATTTCAATAAAATTTGATATTAACTTTTCTTTCTTCTCTCAATTTGTAGTTAATCTTGTTCCTTTTTCTTTTTCCAACACCATTCAAGATATCCGAAACAATTAATCCTTATCTTCTATTTGATATTGATACTTGAAACTAGTAACTCTCGATCAACTTTTTCTTTTCGCATTTAAAATCTACATGAACTATTTCCTTTCATTAAACGATGAACATCAGAAGATCATTCAAAATATAAAAACAATTATGCTCATAAATATTTTCTTTGTATATACCGGGTATATTTGATCGAATAAAAAACATAAATTGACCCGATTTTGAATGTTCAATTGTATTTTCTATAAATTCTACAATATCAGGTGATGTACACTGTGATTTTGAGTTTCCATGATAAAAACTAAATGAATCTAAAAACAAAAAAAGAATTAAAAAAAGAACAATATAAAAATTCGAATGAATTAAAAAAATCTAACTGTTGCTATGTTCAATTCGAGTATGATGAATATTGCCTTGTGATTTAAATGTTATTGCTAAAAAATAATGTCGATGGCTACTATCTCGAACAATAAATGAATAATCTTGTTTATCTTTAAGTAATCGTTCAGCTTCAATCCAACTTAATGGACCCCAGTACCAGCCAACCTAAAGAAATGTAAAAATAAATTTAAAATGAAGTTTGTTTTCTTCTTGTTTTTATTTTGGAAAATAATTTTACTTCTTTTAGTCTTTGTAAACTTGCAAGTTGAGCTATCATTGGAGGTTTATCTTGATTATCTATAATTAAAATTAAATTTTTTGTTGTTTTAATTTTTATTGAATTTTATTTGTTTGTTTTTTTTAACCTGATGATTTTTCAGATGTTTTATTCATTTTTACTATTTGTTGTTCGACAATATCGTCTTTCATTGTAATATTAAATTACGACAAATTGAATCATTTAAAAACTAAAGAAGAAAAAAAAGCAAAACGCAATTGACTTAACTGATTACTCATTGTTTTACTCACTATTATTGACTGAACGGTGATGAAAACTAAAAGAGATGTTAAAATTAATCCTTACGTCTACCTGTTTGTCTATCAATAGAATATCGATTTCGCGACACCAACCAATCTATGAAAAGTAATAAATCTACATCAGTGCATGATTTCCAAGTAGATGACGCTAGTAAATGTGATACAATGGGAGTTCTTTTATTTATTGAAATAGAAATTCATAGACAATGGTCTATTTAGGATACAGGAATAATGAGATGTTCGTATTAGAGACAAGGATTTTTTAGATCTACCTGACTATGTATCACCAAATTATCGAATAGTTTTATACGATAAGACTATGAATATTTCTCTTCCTAGTTTTATATCTTATATTTCGAAGCTACTTTTATACAAGTGTTCATCAAATTTGAAGCGACAAAGTTTTCTCTATGTTTTCCAACTAATGCTAACCAGAGAAATAAAGACTTTTATGTCAATAAATAACTCATAGATTAGAGTATATGTTGCCTCTATTTAAATCATCAAAAAGTACACTTTCAATTTTTCAACTAATGGCCGTCTGGATGCCATAGTGAGGAGTCAGGCGTGAAGTGGGCCTCAGGTGAAAGTTAAAAAGGGAGTAAGATCATATTATCTCTCTTGCTCCAATGTAGATCCCTAATCCCGTTCATACTCGAATTATTGACTTTTCTTTAAGTTCTTCGGTTTATCAAAAAAATTGTTTTAATTTTGTCATGTTAAAATCAGAATTCGAATTTTGAATAGACTAATTTGAATTTGAGTCACAACGTTTAAATGAATGTTCAAGTTTATTTATCATGATGATTGTATATCTGAATTATCTCTATTGATAGACTATTCTAATATAGGGAAGAACAGTTACTTGGGAAGAAAACTAAGCTGAATAAAGCAGATAGTAGTGCTTTTAAGTATTTCTGTAAATAATTCCTTTCTTCATTTATATATCGTTCAACAATAGCATGAAACAGACAGTCTCGGCATGTTAATAAAGGCTTATATTGATTTATTT